TCAAGTTTATTTCTCAAAGGTAAATATGGTTAAAGTACTTGTTAGTTTCAATGGCATGGTGGCATTTCAGTATACAAAAAAAAAATGGAACTTCACATGGGATTTGTATTCTTTAGACAAGGTAATACTGTTTTGCAAAAGAAATAATGCAGAGTGCCACAACCACTTTAAAAAAAATACAGCAGTGGTAGTTTATATAGATTATATAATCTGGAGTAAATCCACCGATATGCCAAGTAACAGAAGATTCTTAGTTCATTGCCTTTTTCCAACCTAACATTACCCTCTTTTTGATTTACAAGCAGTTCAGTAAAGTATCTGATCCCAGTATTCATTCATTTTCTTTACAATAAAACTGTTAAAAAACATGACAGATTAAACTAACATTGTGTCAGAGGATCCACGAGCATGGGGCAGTTTTACATGTCAAATTTGAACAGAGAAGTTAAATATTTCGTAATAACAAAGTAGGCAAATAAATTCCAGACTTGCCATGGAAACACTGACACTGATGAACTAACAGCAGCACTTGATCACATTCTAGTCATATATTATTATCCTTTAAACCCTAATTCTGCAGTGGAACTGCCCTCAGCATGGTAGCCCAATCATACCTCCTTACATATTTCTGGATTAATTCTTTGGGACTGGGACTTTCATCTTTCTCCTGGGTTATAAAGCAGAAAACACACTGTTTGCACAGCATAAGCAGCAACACACAACTTTTTAGTCACAGCCAAGTATAATTATGGACAGAACACTACCAGCTACTCTAGTAGAAATCTTTCATAGAAAATAACTAAATCTGAAAATTAGCAGTAGCTATCTCAGCCCACTACTTCCTTTGTAGCTGCAGACAAAGGGTTGGGACCTGGGTGGGCTGAAGTACCTGATCCCGCAAGATACTGGGTGTCTCGAGTGAGATCCAGCATTCTCTCAACTCCGGCCAACGTTGGCTGGAGTTACAGATGTTCAACACATTGCATAAACAGGTCTATAAACTCTGACAGATTTTTGCACATCACTTACCTGAATATGAAAGACACTAAAATGAAATGAGGCAGGCTAATTAAGACTGTGCACGCTCTAGCACAGACTGAAGGCCATTTCTTGTCACACCCTGAAGGCCGTATCTTGTTACACCCTGCTTTTGATCTAAAATCCACATATGGGTCAACAGCATATGGCACTATAAATACACTATAAGGGTTTTTTTTGTTTGGGGTTTTTTTTTTTTTTTTTCATTTTATACAACCATAATTACTTGAGGGGGGGAAAAAATCCTAACAAATGAAAACAAAGTAACCTGGAAACATAAGATGGAGACAAAATTTGACAGTGACAAAACCTATTTTGCTGCCATCCTTACAGTTCTCTACCTATATGCATAGCCAATAACCAGTAAACATTTTGGTCATGACAGTAAAACATTTCACAAAGGCTCTCTATGTTTCAGGAGGACGTGAACTGAATTTTTAATAAAATGTTAGCCTCAAAGCAGTTCAAAAGATTGCATTTTGAAACAACAAAGAAAATCATATCCAAGCAAAAGAGATTCTATAAAACTGCTACCCAAATAGCTAACAGAAAGCTTGAAACGTGACACAAAAGAAAGATGTACGAAGTATCCTAATGTTGCAGTCATATCACAAGTCAGTACTTCAAGAGCAATGAATGAGATATAAATATTTACCCTAGGTAGCTAGACTGAAGAATGTAAACAGATTCCACAGATATAATATAATTTGTCAATATCTTTACTACTGGAAATGGAAATGTTAACTCAGGCAGGTCACTGATCCTGAAAGATGAGTATAATCAATTACATTTTTTACCTGCCAGTCATTGCTTTTCTCACAGCTGACTGCTTCCCTGCCTTCCATTTCTTGTTTCAAGGCACTGAACAACTTTTTATATCCACTTTTCACTCAGTCTTTTTCACCATTTCCCTACTGTCATCTCAGATTAACACTGCTTGTTTCAGTACTAGTCTGTTTTCTTCCCTTATTTTCACAGTATTCCCTGTTTCCACTGTCTCTCATCTCAGAAAGGTGGCCCTTCTGGTCTCTGAAATGCCATCTTAAATCTCACTTCTTCTCAAGGTCCACAAATTTTAACCACCTCCTAAGCCATAAAATCTGATCCAAAGCTCAGTGAAGTCAGTGAGAGCCTTTCCATTAACTTCAATGGACTATGAATCAGGACCAGATTGCTGTCAGCAACTCTGGACTGAAATCTAGCAAAAGAAAAAAACACAAGGATCTGTATGGGTATCTTTGTTGTTAATAACAGACTGCTACTTGACCATAGTCATGGCAATACTATATCCTAGGTTAATACAATCTGTGGATATTACCAGTATAGAATCATAGAATCGTTTAGGTTGGAAAAGACCTTTAAGATCATCCAGTCCAACCATTAACCTACACTACCAAGTCCACACTAAACCAATCAAGGGTAGACTAGAGTAAACCATGTCCCGAAGTGCCACATCTACCCCATCCAGACCTTATGCAAAGGACTAAGGCCTTAATTTTGTTGTTACATTTATCTGTACAAATTTGGAGCGATGCCAAAGACTTCTGACAGAGCTTGAATAAATAGGCATAGACTAGTTCCTATCACTTCCTTCATATACTACAAAATACCATTCTACATCTAGCTAGGTAAAACAAGGAAAATTGTCATGTTTATGAACAAGGTTAGTAAATCATTACAAAAACACCCAGACTTAAAATGGCTGTTTAGATAGACTGATGGGGTATTTGGAAAGCACAATGAAAAGTTTAAAGACAGTATGTTTTAAATTCTCACTAGTAAGGACGTGCAATGCTGTTCTTGCAGGGATCCTCTCTCTTTAATCCTATATCCTTAATCTAAGAGCAATTTGAAAAAAAAAGCATTTCAGAAATCAATAACAATGTGACTCTACTTCATTCTTCCTGTCTTCATAAACATTCTGTTATTTATTCCCTTTTTATGTAACTCTCCCTGTCTCTTCCAACCTCAGTTCTCTAATGCATTTTTTTTTCAAAGGGGAAATTAAAATAAACTACTTTTGCCCACCTTTCCTTCTCCTATCACTTAAGTTTTAATTTTTTGTTAAGTGCCTTGGGTATAAAGCCAGAGCCTTTCTGCAATCCCGCAGTGCTCCCACCAAGTGATACAGGGAAATCAGTTATAACAGACAACTGGGGAAATCTAAGGCAGTATAATAATTAAAGACACAAATATTATGTAGAGGACTCTGTTCACGTTATGGAAAAAGCTATCATTATCAGATAGCAACTGTTGCCAGTATAAAGCTAAAATATTACACATTTATTAAAAAGCATGTTGTGCTTTGAGGCTATTTCAGCAGTAATTTGACAGTAATGACAATTCACGTTTTTTACATCTTTACCCTATATTGTACTAGCCAAGGTACTTTAGGGGAGGGGATAAAAGTAACACTGCCTATTACCGTATAACTTTGCCAAGTGTATCAGCAAACACAAAGCCAGTTACATGACCTTCACTAAAGGGGTGCAGTTTTGAGGAGTTTGGGGTTTTGGAGTTTTTTTTAAAGATATTTATGCTGAAACTTTTATTATAATGAAGTACACTCCACCCTCACAGCTTCAGCTATGAAAAGCAAACACTTTGTAGAAATGAAATTACTGTTGCAACAAGGTTGCTTATGACATTGTTTAATACAAAAAGGAGCCAAGACACAGTACATTGATAGGGGGTGGAGTGTATTGTATATACAGAAGAGGGGTATTACGTCTGTTCTGCCATCTGACATTGATGTGGGAGGAGGGGACAAAACCAAATGCATTTTTTTTCCAGTACTGAAACATGCAAAGACAAAATGCTTATTACAAGTTATATGCAGCTCAGAATAATAATTAAAAAAAAAAAGAATAGACAGCTCTAGAAATGCCCCAGTATACTTAATCTGTTTAGATTTTTTTTTTAAATATATATTTAATACTCTGATCTTTCACTTCAAAACTTAGAATTAAGCAATGAGTGAACAGGATCTGAAATACAGCAAGGCATTTGCTCACATCACATTAAAAGGCATCTTTTAAATGCAGCTGTGGATTTCTAAACTTCAACTGAACACAATTTTCAGTTGCTTGGAATTTGAAATGCAAGATGATCTTGGCCACATTACACCTTTTTTTTATTTAAGTGGAATTGTAAATATGCAATAAATTGCTGTTTCAAAGAGGCAACATGCAGAATTCAAACCTATTTGTTTCTTGCAGGATTCTGTTGACCTGTGCATGAAGAGGTATTGAAGCAGTGGTGCAGTGAGAATCACTACAGCAATACAAATCCACAGCTCAAGCATGAAATCCTAGAGGCTGGATCTCTGAGGAGCAACACTGAGTATACTGTTCTCTAGAATACACCACCTCCTTTAACCAATGAATTTAGTTTCAGGAGAACAGTTGCTCACCAACTTTTTTCCAAAAGAAAAAAAAGGCAGGGAGGGTGATAGGAGGGAAGAGGTGGAAAGAGCTTACGCATTAGGATGACACTTAGCAGAGAGCTGCAAACAGAAAGCAGACAAGTATTTTAAATGTGATAGATTTCAACCAGAAATGTGAAAGCATTTTTTCCCTGTTAAAATCTTGCCGGAGTTGGCCAGGACAAAATTTGTGTTGCATCTACAGGCTGAAGCAACAGTGTTGAGAAACAAAACAAAAGGGCATTTACCGCCTGCCCCCCAGCCCCCCCTTCCCCTCCCAGTTAGGGAAGTATGAACGATGCTTTTGGTTGGCTGCAAGGCAAATATTAGCTAGAAACTCATTTAGCTAGATCCACATCCATGGCCCCAGATGCTTAAAACTTATCATGGATTAAAGCCATGAAATAAAAATTTTTAAAAAAATTTCAATTTGAAATTTTATTGGCATGTTGCTAGAATGGTCAACATCAATC